AATGTTATTAATACTTTTTAAAATTGTAATATATGACTACAGTTTATATGTTAATTATATCTGTATATTGTAATTTTTGTAAGGAAAAAGGGTTCATCCCGTTAAATAAACAAACAAAATAAAAGTTGACGTGTCCGAACGTTGTTTATCTTTGTCTTAAATAACGGAATTCACTAGGGAGGGTAAGACTTAATATCCACACTCTACACACACTGTCAAATTTCGCTTTGTCTTTCAAGATAAATAATCATTTGAAACGCGTGTCAGTGTTTTTAGAAATTTTAAATTTATTCACAAACATTCCGTAACGAAGTAAAACTCATTTATCCTAACCCATTAGTGTCCAGATGGTTTTTTCGCTGTTTTTAATGTGATGCTAATATTTTTTTAGGAGCAGTTTTATTAAAAAATATAAAAATAAATGAATTCACGCATTCTAATCTATAAATCACTCAGTATATAATGTTACATATGTGTAACGCTAGGAGCTAATTGGTGTAAAAAATATAAAATATATGTGTAAACAGTTCTATTTATTTAAATACTGAAAATAATAAAAAAGGATGAGAATGAGAAAAGGCAGCAAATATTTGATTTCACGCAAACAAATCCTATGTATCTCTTGATACGTATTTCGACCTAATAGGTCTCGTCAGAAGAGCTATTCATAGGGGTTCTCAACGTGAAAAATCAATATTTTCTGCCTTTTAAGAAGCAACAATAACATGGCTTCAATACGGACGCAGTAGCGACATCTAATTAAACAATCGTAAAATAGTTTCGAAACACAATTCAGATTTCTGCTTTATAATCTGAGCCTTCTAAGAATTGCAAGGCAAACAGACGTTGATAAAAGATGTTAAAAGGTGTCGCTACTGCGTCCGTATTGAAGCCATGTTATTGTTGCTTCTTAAAAGGCAGAAAATATTGATTTTTCACGTTGAGAACCCCTATGAATAGCTCTTCTGACGAGACCTATTAGGTCGAAATACGTATCAAGAGATACATAGGATTTGTTTGCGTGAAATCAAATATTTGCTGCCTTTTCTTATTTTATTCGGATATACTCTGTGAGAGTACGAGAAACACAATTCGCTAAGGATTTCTGCTTAGTTGTAAAAGACATGTCGTGAAATGCAAATTTTAGATTCCCCATGTCTCTTTTAACATCTTTTATCAACGTCTGTTTGCCTTGCAATTCTTAGAAGGCTCAGATTATAAAGCAGAAATCTGAATTGTGTTTCGAAACTATTTTACGATTAATAAAAAAGGAATTTAAACATTTTGGTTTGTATGATAGGTAACAAAACGGTATATGCAGAGACCTAAGTTACATTTTTTACACATCGTGAGTGTTAAACTTTTGCAAAATCTTCCAGTACAACGTCTTCTTTTGTCGTTTGAAATTTTATCCACTAGGTATTTAATCCTATCATATCGAATTTCATCGGCTACTCTTTGCGCGTTAGAAGATAGAGATGGAGTCCTACCAGCGCCTTTGGGAGATGACGAATATTTCTTCAAATAAACTTGCACAATAGACCTTTGAAAGTTCTATTTGGGACATCTGAGAGTTGTTTGTTACGCGCTATTGACTGAAACATCAAAAAGCCATGTATACAATGCCCCGTACCATTTTCGGTTTGTAATTTGAATCCTGTACTTTCCAATATTCTGATCCATTCGATTAGTATCACCTATTTTTTTGTTATGCTCTGCAAGTATTGCTGGTCTGCTAACTTGTTTGTGTTTTTTTTTCCTTTTGCGAATACCCTCCAACATTTCTTATTGGATTGATGCCATATCTATTTGAAGTAATGCAAACTACGGAAATATCGACTCATTTAGCTTCTAGTACAGCATCCGTCTTACTAATAGTACTTTCATAGAATCCCTTCTCCCTTTTAGTTAATAAAGGACAGCTTTTAGGTAAACAGTTTTCTCTTATAGTTCCCGTGCCTTTGTATAAGAATGGAAAAGATTTCAGATTATCAGCTAGTTCTATCATTTTCACCAGTAGTGAGGCCGCCTTTCCAAAGTTTCTTTCTATGTTAATATCAGGAGTTACAGATTTTCCTTGATATATCTTAAAAACATTCAAATAGCTTATCACTGTATTTAGACACCAGACTTTATAAAAAATTGTATGCATTTGGCTCTTAAAACTTGCTTGCAGCTATGTTTACCGTAGTATTTGACCATACTTTCGTCGAAAACCAGATCTTTTTCATGAACAAAATACTTTCTGAATCTACCCTGCACTTTATTTATAAATGGCCGTATTTCCCTAGCTCATCACCCTTATCAATATTTGAGTAAGAATTCAAGTGAATAAGCCTCAAAATTTGCTCAAATTTGTTGCTATTGTTCTGAAGCTTATGTTTATGGAAGATTTTGAAACAAATATCATTTCTAAACAAAATTTCAAACCCACAGTATGGTGGAGGTATGTAGATGATGTATTCTCAATATGGCCTCATGGATCAGAGTTGTTGAACACATTTCTAAATGATATAAACGATAAAGAAGAGACAATAACATTTACCATGGAAAAGGAATATAATAACACGCTACCTTTCCTGGATGTTTTAATCTCTAAGAACGATACTGGATATGAGACTCAGGTGTATAGAAAACCAACACACACCAATTAATGTAAAAAAGGGAATAATTAAATCCTTATACGATAGAGCCAAAATTACTTGTTCTAACGAAAATTCGTTCTTGGAGGAGAAACATTTGTTAACATCTGTTTTATTAAAAAATGAATATCCTTTATCGTTTATAAATAAGGAATTTTCAACAATCGATCGAATAGAACAGAACAACCAACTTAGAACGAGATCCTACAGCATACACAAGGAATAATATGAGGAAAATAACAATACCGTACATAAAAGGACTATCAGAAAAACTTAAACTTAAAAGGATAGGAAATAAATTCAACATTTCAACAACATTCAAAACAACAAACACGTTGAGATCTATTTTGTCCAAAACCATACCTAACAATGAACAAGAAAGCACAAAGAATTGCATTTATAAAATACCTTGTGAATGCGATCAGTTTTATTTAGGTGAATCATCAAGGCCATTAAATGTTAGAATAAGTGAACATCAATCTTATATTAAAAATAGAGAATTTGATAGATCTCAAATCTGTAAACACGCATGGGATAATTAACATAGGGTTCAATGGAATAATTCAAATGTAGTCCTAAAAGAAACGGATGGTAAAAAAAGAAAAATCAAAGAAGCGGCTATAATTATGCTAAATAAGACCAATTGTGTCGCAAATTCCTCGGCAGAATGTAGTAGGATCTGGTTACCAATATTGAAAGAGGAAGTTATTAATAAGAAAATACCAGTATTAGTAAGTCAGTAATATATAGAGGATACATCATTTATGTTTTTTAAATAACGTAACATATAAAATCAGAATTTTGATGTTTGTTGAAGGTAAACTAAATTCACGAACAAATACTTACAATGTTGGGATAGTATTATGAGGTTTTTTTCCTGGTTTTTCCCTCATAATTTACTACGGAATCACTAACAGGAGAATTTTACTGTCATCATATCATGTGTTTGTCTTTTTAAAGACGAATTACATACTATGATTTTTTTCTGACTGATATTCTCAAGTTAAAGTTGATTTCATGTAATCAAATGAACTCTCTTATAAGTAAAGTCGTCCCAGGAGCGTAACTCAACAATATTGGCAATATCTCTTTATAGTCGTCTACTTTAAAATGCATAATGTATGTCTGAATTGTCAATATAAATGAGTCAGATAAAATTAAATTATTAGAAGAATTTTTCACTATGTAACAAAAAAACAAAATTTGTTTAATTTACTGTTTGTATTTTGAGAACGATTTCCGAAGTGGAAATTGAAACGTCAATAAACGTATTTTTATCTTTAATTGTGGCTTATTCCCAGTTTAATAGTAATCAAATCTGTTGCGTTTCATAGCATTATATAGAAGTTCGTTTCTACTGTCAAAACTTTGCTTCCAATACATAGGCTTGCTGGGAAGATTATTATAACCATTAAGAATCAATATAGCAATGAAACATTTCATTTCCTCTGGCGAGACTCCTGGGTCTGGTAAATTCTTAAAAGTAGCATACTGGTTTGCTTCCTATACCAGCAATAAAATGATTTCTTCGTCTATGAACATCTCGAATATATTAACAACTGATTTGTTTTCAAACAGTGAATAATCTGACTCAGAAAATTGTTTCTCGTTATATGGGAAATCTCCTGAAACCCAATCCCAGGATTCAGAATCTTTTGGATATACCATATGAGCAGGTGTAATATCGATATCATTTGCCAAAGAACTGTTACCTTCTGTCGATTCTGACTGTTGAATAGGAATTTTTTCTCCTAGTATAATTTTATCAGCAGTTCTAACTTCTGCATCGGCACGTAGCTAATGTTTGCTCAAATTGTCGAAATATCCACCCTCGTCCTCAACTTCGGAATCCTCATCCGTCAGAATAACCGGATCCGGTGGCGCCATATAAATTACCTCTATAGGGTCATCTATCTCGTCGTATACTACAAAGGCTATATCAATAGCTTCTTGAACAGTCGGGCCTCTTTGAAGAACTGCAGCAAAGCCTCTGAAATAAAAAAGAACAACTTAGTAGGTACATACTGCATTTTTAAATTTCAAATTTTTAAATTTTAAAGTTCAATAAACACTCTGTATACTAATACTTCGAAAAATGTTACTAAAATTACCATACAATGAAAACAAAATATTTGATATATTGGTACAAAATAACTGGAGAAAATGCTTAATGTATTTCAGAATTCTTTAAATAAAATCTTTAAACAAATTCTTATATATTTCATGCTTTTCTTCAATCTTTCACTCAGACTACAGTCGCCGATTTTAATTTGCACATCTTAGAGACAAAATGAAATTTGACAAGTTATACACAAGTATCAAGAAGTAACCAATGCTATTAATATTCTCTAAATTTAGTAGGAAGCATAATTTCACCCCCGGTCACCAGTGAATCGGGATCACCTCCAATCTTACCAACAAAGGGACTTATAATTAAAGACGTCAAAGACGTTATTGCTCAAAGCATTAGTCAGAAGTTCCAACAGTCCATGGAACCGAGGAGGCCCATGTTGGATATAGAATACAAAAGGAGCGGCTTCACGCCGCCGCTGGGAGCGGGAATATCTGTCATCAAAACGCAGCACGATCTCAACAGGCAGTTCCAGCAGCAACATCCCAAACCCCAACAGCAAAGTTCTAATAACGCTCCGACGGGTGGAAAAGGTAAGTTATTCCTTTCTAATATTGGAAACGACCATTAAGTGTTTCATACCACCATATAAATAACCAAATTATATTGTATAGATAAAGTGTTGATTGACGGGAAAAGAATTACGTAACTAAGTCCACTAATGCTCTTCTCACGACCTTTATTTAGTACCCCAGTTCTTTCTTAGTCCACTAGACATAGCCACGAAAAAGTCATACGCCTGTAATTATTTGTCATAAAAAAATCTACATATTGCACCATTAGATTCCTATATCAAAATTATCGGCAATTTTAGACCCATCTCTAAACCAGCTGTAACACTGCATCTTGTGTGTATCCTCTGCTCCTTCGCTTTCGTGGAAATATGTCCACCGAAAAAGGTTCTTACATCTGGGTAAGATCTGTATGTGAGTACCTAATGGTCCGAAGTTTACATTCTCCATTATAGCGATGTAGCATTGTAGCAATGTAGCATGTAGCATAATTTGAGGAAAGCACGTTTTTGCTGCATCATCTTTGGTTACCACCATTATATAAATACAATACAACATATCTGGTGTAAGCGATCTGCAGCAATTATTTATTTTGACTTTTCGATTTATTTTAATAGACCTAACTCTTCTGTTGCGTAAACATAACAATAACCTTACTTACTTCTACTTCTAGATGACTCAAGTTAAGTGAAGACATATAACTCATGTTCTATGTCAGATAAGTAATATCGATGTTTCAGGTCATTCATCCGGTCATGTTTCGTATAGGTCCGACTTTGTCAAAGTATATATATACATCGCTGAAGATTACCACTGTTTTTTTGCAAAGAACCATTAACATAGGGTTTTTCTTGTCACTTTTATCAATAATTAATAATAGATAGAGTGGCCCAAAAGTCTGGAAACGGCTAATTATCTCGTAAATTACTAGACATAATTATACAAAATTTAAGATACGCCTATTTTGGGATACGGAGATTCCATATTTGGTATTTGCAATGTTGCCAAATTTTTAGTTTCTCTTATATTACTAGTAACTTTGGGTTTTCAAATGCATCACCCTGTATATTCAGTCATTATTGGAATCTCCTGTTAAATACGAGTTCAACCATATGTAACACTTATGATTTTATGTAGTCTAGAAGGTCTTAAATACATAAAACAGAAGTCTGGCAACGCCTAAATGGTTTCAATATATTTTTTAATACTAACTATTTTCAAATACATTAAAACGTAACAATTAATTGATAGTTTAGAATATTTTTTAACATAATAGTTACGTTATTAAGTGTTCAAAATGTGCTCCATTTGTGAGTTGATAGCACTCTAATCGATGGTAGAATGCGTCTATCACATTTCTCCATGATTGTCTAGAAATTATTCGAGATTCATCGATAATTCATTGCCTTAGCTATGGAAGACATGCTGGTTAAGTTTTGTAAACTGAATTTTTCAAGTATCAAAATAATCTTTAGGATTGAAATCGGGTGAACGTGGAGGCCATTCAATTCTACCTTGTCAACCAATTTATCGTCCGGGAAATATCTCATCTAAATAACGCCGAACATTTACACCAACTCTCTGACGTTAAATTGCTTTCGATAAAAAATGGCCCAATTAAATAAGTACCTAGTATAACTGACCATCCATTTAATTTTTGTGGTCTTTGAGTATGGTTTTCACGCATTCAGTGTGAATTTCACACGAGTTCAGCTATTCAATACGAGTTCAACCATATGTTCATTTGATTTTATGTAGTCTGAAAGATCTTTAATACATAAAACATTGCAAAATATGTAGATTTTAATAAATGTAAATAAATAAATGTAGAATGCTGTGATGTTGACATTTGTTCACCATTTAAATTATGAACTAAAATTGACAGTAGTTGTGGTTCAAAATGTTCTGCAATTTAAATTGCTTCTCTAAAATGCCGTTCTGTAAACCGTTCTCCTATTCATAAGACGACGGTACAAAAAACTGTAAGGCGATTTGAGGAATCTGGAGAAGTAAAAGATATATATACCGATAAATAAAAGATATATATAAAAATACCGATCAGGTTGACCGAAACGAGTTATCAATGACAACAAAACTTCAGATATAAGCAAAGTTTTGTTGAAGATCTACATACATCCCCAGGCAGGGTTGCACAAGTACATGATATAGGTCATTCTTCAGTCTTACGTTTATTACGTAAAAATAAATTTAAATCATACAAAATTAACTTATTGCAAGAATTAAGTGAAGATGACTTTGGTCGTAGATTATAATTTACTGAGGTAATGATGGATAAAATTGAAAATTATTAAAATTTCGTTAACAGAATATGTTTTTTCGATGAACCAACTTTTACACTATGTGGAAGTGTAAATCAACACAATTTAAGGTACTGGTGTGACGTAAATTCACACTGAAGACTGAATGCGTGAAAACCATACTCAAAGACCACAAAAATTTAATGTATGGTCAGATATGGTAGTTACTTATTCAATTGGGTCATTTTTTGTCGAAAGAAATTTAAGGTCAGATAGTTGGTGTAAATGTTCGGCGATATTTAGATGAGATATTTCCTGGACGATAAATTGGTAGACAAGGTAGAATTGAATGGCCTTCACGTTCACCCGATTTCAATCCTAAAGATTATTTTTATTAGGGATACTTGAAAAATTCAGTTTACAAAACTTAACCAGCAAATCTTGCAGAGCTAAAGCAACGAATTATCAATGAATCTCGAATAATTTCTAGACAATCATGGAGAAATGTGGTAGACCATCGATTAGGGTGCGGTCAACTCAAAAATTGAGAACTTTTTGAACACTTAATAACGTAACTACTATGTTAAAAAATGTTCTAAACTATCAATTGTTACGTTTTAATGTATCTGAAAATAGTTAGTATTAAAAAATTTATTGAAATAAGTTAGGCGTTGCCAGACTTCGGTTTTATGTATTTATAACCTTCCAGATTACATAAAATCATAAGTGTTACATATGGTTCAACTCGTATTGAATAGGAGATTCTAATAATGACTGAATATACAGGGTGATGTATTTGAAAAACCAAAGTTACTAATAATATAAGAAAAACGGCAAATCTGGCAACATTGTAAATATCTAATATGGAATCTCCGTATCCCAAAATAGGTGTATCTCAAATTTTGTACAATTATGATTAGCATTTTACAAGATAATCAGCCGTTTCCAGACTTTTGGGCCACTCGGTATAAAAATTTATTGAAATGATAGTATTTACTTTAATTGATGTTACAGGAACAAGGCCCAAACGGGGAAAATACCGGAATTACGACCGAGACAGCCTCGTGGAAGCTGTACGAGCAGTCCAAAGAGGCGAGATGTCAGTTCACCGAGCGGGTAGTTACTACGGCGTACCTCATTCCACGTTAGAATACAAAGTGAAAGAAAGACATTTAATGCGACCTCGCAAACGTGATCCTAAACCAAATCCAGTCGATGAAAAAATCGCAAGCCTCAAGCAAAACGACATCCGTAACTCTCAAGACAAGATGAAGCCTCTCATGAAACCACCGCAGAAGTTCTCACCCACGTCACCAAACGGAATGAAGCTTCCCTTGTTCGAACCAGGAATGGCGCCTTTGGCAGGGTATAACCCGCCTCCTTTTCCATTTTGGCCAGCTCCAGGTTTTCCGCCTATACCGTTGGACTACGCTAGGACTCCAACATCTCCCTTTGCTGGACCAAATCCATCAGAATACTTCGCGTCACAAATGATGCAGAAACTCCAAGAAGATTCTTCTAGAACAACCCCCCAGTCGTCAGGAGGTGGTCCCACTCTCTCTAAAAACGCCAGACAAAGGGCTGAGTCTCTTTTAGAAAGTAGTTCAGCGGCAAATGGATCTTTTCTAGATGGGATTATCAGATCGAGTCTGGAGTCAGGTGTTCCCAGCAGCGAAGATAAAACGTCGAACGAAGATAAGAACATCGCTCCGGAGAACATGTCCAACAAAGCCTTGTTGGATCAGTTGTGTAGGAATAGCAGGCTGACGCCTCTTTCCAAACCCACCACTTCGGATGGAAATCACAGTTCAGAAGACGAATCTTGTCGAAAAAGTCTTAGTCCCTTAAATTACGCCACAGGTAACCATAAATACTTATTTCATTATACTTAGTTTGTATTTTTAGCTTATCAAATAGTTTTAAAATATTTTTGCAGACAATATTTTCAAACCAAAAAAATACCATAATGTGTATTTCCCAAAGGTTTCATTTGTAATACATATTAATATGTAACGACATATTAAAAAACAAAGATCGGGCTCTGTAGGCCACAGATCTTGGGTCTAACCCTTATACATAATATGTATAATTCACATCAAAAAATTTTTATAAAACATTGTTACCACATACAGCAACGACAACAGCTAATTTTGACTTACATTTTTGAAGTAAACTGAAAAAGGAAGCTCGGATATACGGAAATAAATCCGAGAGCGACCTCTGTATTTAAAATTATTAATTGAAAATTGAAAATGTCTAAACTGACGTCTGAAGGTTATTAATTATTACTTTTAGTTACTATAGAATTTTAAATTTAAATATTTTAAATTGATAATTTACCGTAAAGATTTAAAATATATATTTATCAATATTATCAAAAAACAAAACTTTAAAGTTTGACCAAGTAGAAGAAAGTAGATGAAAGCCAACCAAGGAGAAGTATCATTTGCTAAGTTAAGAGTTCAACAGCTACTATTGATTATCAATATTATTAATAAAATAAATAATGAAGAAGAAAAATATCAAACATTCTCTACTTAGATGAAATCAATGAAAGAAAATTTAAGAAATTATCTCTTTTAAATCTCTTTTAAAAATAAAGGTCAAAGCTTGATCAAATGATGGTTAATTTTATACTAAATGTATTATTAAAGAAACTTCTTAAAGATTGGATCAAACTTACAATTTAAGTTAATTTGAGTGTTGACACAGTTCTGAGGATTCCTTTTCATTTCTCTACTGATTTCAAGATCTTCTAGTGAATTCATTTTTATATAATTATTATTGGGTATACTGTGTGGGATCTTGCTATCTCTATGAGGACCAAAGCCATGCTTTGAAGCATGTATATGATTCCCAAAACTAGATTTATCAATCTTAGACAGATGTTCTTTAATGCGTATATTCAAAGGTCGCATTTTTCTACCCACATAGGTCACCGGGCATTCACCACAGGATAATTTATAAATACCACTTTTTGACGATTTGTTGATTTTGTCTTTAGTGTGGGAAAAATAGATTTGATATTTTCTTTAACTTTGAAAGAACTAAACTTTTCCCACACTAAAGACAAAATCAACAAATCGTCAAAAAGTGGTATTTATAAATTATCCTGTGGTGAATGCCCGGTGACCTATGTGGGTAGAACAATGCGGCCTTTGAATATACGCATTAAAGAACATCTGTCTAAGATTGATAAATCTAGTTTTCGGAATCATATACATGCTTCAAAGCATGGCTTTAGTCCTAATAGAGATAGCAAGATCCTACACAGTATACCCAATAATAATTATATAAAAATGAATTTACTAGAAGATCTTAAAATCAGTAGAGAAATGAAAAGGAATCCTCAGAACTGTGTCAACACTCAAATTAACTTAAATTGTAAGTTTGATCCAATCTTTAAGAAGTTTCTTTAATAATACATTAAGTATAAAATTAACCAAGGGCCCGCGTAGCGCAGCGGTAGTGTGCTTGCCTCGCATGCCGGTGGTCGTGAGTTCGAATCCTACCGCCGGCAAGAACAACTAGGCATTTTTAAAATGTCTATAGGCCCCAGGTCGACTCAGCCTGAATAAAATGAGTACCTTGGGTAAAACCAGGGGTAATAATAGGCGGTTGAAGCGTAGCACTGGCCATGTTACCTTCCTTGTATACCGTAGGCCCTAGATATAGCAGACTACCCTGCTATACTCCCAAAGCCGCGTGCGGTATAAAACGGGAGACTATTATTATTATTATAAAATTAACCATCATTTGATCAACCATTTGATTATCATTTGATTAACCATCATTTGATTTTTAAACAAGCATTTGATAGAGTATGTAGGGACAGACTGTGGACAGCGATGCAGGAACTTGGCTTTCCAAAAAAACTAGTCCGGTTGATACGGATGTGTATGGAACGGTTACGATGTAAGGTGAGAGTTGGACAACAATACTCGGAGACATTTGAAATAAACAATGGACTAAAACAGGGAGATGCACTTTCACCACAACTCTTCAACTTAGCTCTGGAGCACATAATCAGAAGTGCAAGAATCGAAAAACCGAATACAGTATTTCATCGAGAAGGACCAAACTTACTACTGGCATTTGCAGACGATATAGATCTAATAGGAAACACGCGATTAAGGATGAAGGAGACTTTCGTAAGGTTTGAGAAGGAAGCAGAGAAGATGGGGCTCCAAATCAACGAAAACAAGACGAAATATATGTATATGAGCCGCAATAACCAAAGCAGAGACAGAATCGGTCAGAACATTACCATCGATGACTTTAACTTTGAGCGCGTTAGGGAATTCAAGTATCTTGGAACAACAATAACTGAAGACAATAACGGATCACAAGAAATAAACAACAGGATTCAGGCCGGCAACAGATGTATTTTTGCCCTCCAAAACCTTATAAAATCAAAACAACTAACACGACGTACGAAGATACAGGTCTATAAAACAATCATACGACCCGTTGTGATGTATGGAAGCGAAACGTGGACGATGACAAAGGCAAATGAAGAGAGACTACGTGTTTGGGAAAGAAAAATCCTAAGGAAGATCTTTGGTCCGGTGCTTGATGAAGCATCAGGACAATATAGGATAAGAACTAATAAAGAGCTTGAAGAACTTTACCCAGACGCCAACATCATAAAAGAAATAAAGTCCAGAAGACTCCAATGGGCAGGACACCTCAGAAGACATTCTGACGAACGAACAGTAAGACTGGTGTGGCAGGAAGTCCCAACTGGAAGGAGACCACGCGGACGCCCTCGTCTCCGGTGGCGAGATAATATAGCAGGAGACCTAAGCACTATGGGCGTGGAGAATTGGATGGAGGTTGCTCAAGACAGAAAACAGTGGAGACATGTTGTCGAGTCGGCTAAAACCCACGAAGGGTTGTAACGCCACGGAGTAAGTAAGTAAGTAAAATCATTTGATCAAGCTTTGACCTTTATTTTTAAAAGAGATTTAAAAGAGATAATTTCTTAAATTTTCTTTCATTGATTTCATCTAAGTAGAGAATGTTTGATATTTTTCTTCTTCATTATTTATTTTATTAATAATATTGATAATCAATAGTAGCTGTTGAACTCTTAACTTAGCAAATGATACTTCTCCTTGGTTGGTTTTCATCTACTTTTTTCTACTTGGTCAAACTTTAAAGTTTTGTTTTTTGATAATATTGATAAATGTATATTTTAAATCTTCACGTTAACTTATCAATTTAAAATATTTAAATTTAAAATTCTATAGTAACTAAAAGTAATAATCAATAACCTTCAGACGTCAGTTTAGACATTTTCAGTTTTCAATTAATAATTTTAAATACATAGGTCGCTCTCGGATTTATTTCCGTATATCCGAGCTTCCTTTTTCATTTTACTTCAAAAATGTAAGTCAAAAACAGCTGTTGTCGTTGCTGTATGTGGTAACCATGTTTTATAAAAAATTTTTGATGTGAATTATACATATGTATAAGGGTTAGACCCAAGATCTGTGGCCTACAGAGCCCGATCTTTGTTTTTTAATATCTCGTTTGTCCACAATTTTCCTTCTATGAAGTATTTATTGCCTAATTGACGTAAGTTTTTTCTGTCATTGTATTTTATATAAAAAATTTACTTAACTTAACGTTATTTTAGGATAGCTCTGATGATGACATTTATTATGTCGAAAGTATACTCAGGTTAATTAATAAATTATTTTACACACTATCAATTTTATTTAAAACATACAAAACCTGCTTACCAGTTAGACCTATTTAGAAGTGTGTACAAGTCTTACAGTCTTTTTCAATTTAACTTTAATCACTAATGTAGATTGATCATTGTAAAATAAAATTAACTTTGTTATAGGCGATACTTCCCGAGACGACAACAATGATGATGATTCATCATCTAGATTTGACAAAGACAGTTCGGAAGTTCACACCATTGAGCTTTCGAACGACTCCAACACCTCGAGCGAAAAGAGAACGAACGAGGAGGAACGAAAACCAAGAATATACTTGAAACAGGACCTCGTGAAACCCGAAAATCTCAAGCCAGAAATGTTGGTGCGTTTTCGGGGGGAGGTCCTGCCAGATATTGACCACAATGGTAAGAATCAATGTTGATTTGCTTTAAATGAATTAACAGCATAATAGGACTTTTTTAAAATTTACAATATCTCTTTGTCAACCTTTTTCCATCCACTCCTGAATGTAGGTCTCTTCCAATTGCTTCCATCTTTCTCAATCTTGCTCCAACCTAATCCACTGTTTGCTTGCCACTACTCTTATGTCATTTACCCATATTGTTTGAGGTCTTCCCATGCTTCTTGTTGTCGTCCTTGGTCTTCATTCTAGAATTCTCTGTGTCCATCTGTTGTTATTAAATCGGGCTACATGACCTGCCCAGCTCCATTTCATTGTTGTAATTTCTTCCACAATATCCCTAATCTTCGTTCTATGTTTAATCTCGGTTTTTCTAATCTTATCTCCCAGTGATATTCCAAGCATGATTCGTTATATTGCTCTTTGCGTTGTTTCTAATTTTTTAGCAGATTTTTTGGTAAGGACTACTGTCTCCAAGCCGAAGGTAAAAGCTTATCTGGGCTGATCCATGTCCATTTATGTTGATTTTTTAAAGAACGTATTGAGACAATAAAATCTCCCGTGATTATTACGAAGTGTGATTTTTCTTGGTTCCTTGCTGTTGTCAGATCCTCCTAAAATGATCCTCCTAGAATGAAAGTTTTTTCGTCTGTTGAGTTTCCTGTCGGTGCATATCCATGTATTATCTGTAAGCTGTATCTGCTATTTGAAGCGATGACAAGATATATAACTCTGTTTGATACTGCACAGAACTTCGTTACTTTATAGGGAGCACGTTTCTTTATCAGGAATGCCACACCTCCTATGTGATGATTTTCTACGGAGTTTTTCTGGTATAGCTGGTGACCATATTTTAAGATGGTACATGCTTCTCCTGGTAAGCGAGTTTCGTACAGTCGAATTATATCCCATTTGATATTTGAGATCTCTTGTTCTAGTTCATCAAGATGTTCTTGGGTCCTCATAGTTCGTATATTGCAAGTATCTATACGAAGCAATGATGGGTAGATAAGTGATTGCTTAGTGTGAGATTCTGAGCATATAACTCTACTCACCTGGGGTAATTTCGTATTGATACCGGACATCTTTGACTTGAGAGGTTTTAGCATATTTAAAACGCCACGCTTTCCGAGCGGGTTGGCGAGTGATTCTATACAATTCCTAAAATCAACCGCAATCCACGCCGTACCGAGGGTATTCTTCTCCGCCGTGTCTGCAGTTGTTGACTTAATCCGTAACCCTTAATAAAGGACCCTAAGCAGGTACTAGTTTCCCGGGTCAGAAACCCCTGAAATCTGCGAAGGGCCGTGATCGATTCATTTTCCTCATAGAGCTATCTAAAGGAGTTTCTACTCGCTACCACAATACTAACATATATACATATCGCCACAATATAAAACATAAAAATTATTAAAATTTCGCTATTAAATTGAGCCTTTAAAGCACTTTAAGGATTTTCACGCTTATTTGGATGTTTCGTTTATTCGTTTCATTTATTTCGGAAATTATTTTAAAATTCACGCGGGGATAAGGAAGAAAAGCAAAATAAAAGAAAGACAGTAGCTATCTCATTGGAAGAATATGGCTGTACAAATAAACATTAAGATTATGTTTATCCTTTTTCGAAGATTTTAAGACGCAATTTTCAAAGTGGTAAATAAAAACCTTATAAAATTTTTATGATATACAAACGTAAACAAAGAAAGACATATATTTCGTATAATATATTTTAAATAATATAGAATTTTTCCTCAGGTATGGCGGAAAGTGCGCCCAGCAGTGCCTCAGAAACGGACGGGCCGCAAGACTGACACCAACCAGAAATGTATGTACCTATAGTAAGTGACAGAATTTTATACTGAAGACGTACTTTCTTAAAGAAGTAAAAATTATATTAGAAGAATTTCCATGTTGGAAATTTAAAAAAAAACACGTGGTTGTAAGTAACAAAAATATGAGCTCGATATGACGGTGTTTGTTGATAATAATTTATTGTTTTACTATGATTTTGTTCTTAGTAGTGGAACGGGAAGGTTATTTCCTATCGTATCTTTCAAGACTTACAATTGTTATAGTTATACCTTACAATTTAAAACGTAAATAATATGAACAAGAATAAATAAGATTGCTTTATTACATTATGCAGAAGAATTGATTTACTTAACGAACCGTAACAGAATGATTCACTTGAAGAAGTATCACTAAGAACTGTTTTCTGGTACGTCACCCAGTCCAAACTTCGCCATAGCTCCAGACGTTTGTATCACGCAGTTTTAAGCAAATTAACATTTTTTAACATTTAATTTAACATTTAACATTTAATTTAACATTTGAAGATACGAAGAACAACTAATTTTTACCTACCAGAAAGTAGTACATTCGAGTAAAAGAGTGAGCGTGATTTTATCATTCGATTTTACCTGTCTTTCGTTTTTCCCTCAGGAAGGCTCTTTCTTGTAGCTTTAATAAGTCTAAGTTCTCATGTAGAAATTTTCACAAGTTTTTTATCACCACTTATCATTTTAAGAAGTTTTGACAAAGCTAAAGTCGGTATTCTTTGGCTCCTCAATTAACAACCTCATTACTTTGCAGTCTCACTGTATACCTTTAGTTTTTTATTAAAATGTCTTGCATCTCTTACTTTCGCCAAATAATACTCTTCCATCTTCGCGATGTTTGGTCATCTGTGAACTTTCTGAACTATTAATGATACTGTGACCGAAAGTAAACTGTGTCTGAAACGTTTTATCTAGTTTAACAACAAATTTTAGTATATAAATGTATACAAATATATCAATTTTGCTTTAAATTACTCTTGAAAATTACTACAAGTCAGAAAACCAAAATCTCGTTCTACAAAAATAAATGTAACCGCTTGAGAAGAGCTTGTACTCAGGCACACCAAACGATGCTCCCCATCACACTGCTCTCCGTTACAATGTTGCCACGTAATTTAGAACCAAGCAATAATTGTTCTACGACAAATTTAATCAAAGTAATACATTCAAAATAATATAAATTGAGAAGTTTAAAAAAATAATTATTATTCAATTAACAGCCTCTTAAAATCAATTTGGCAATGACCTTTCAAAGTGAATCAATATTTTGTTGCATGTGATGTAACGATTTTATTTATTCTTTTAACTTATATCAAAAAAGTACCTTGAGATATTTTAGTACCAACCAAAAATAGTAAAAGAAGATTATATATTATATGTTTGATACATTTTGAAGCTTTTAGTAAACTCCTTAAGATATTCACGAAATGACTTTTCCGTTTCCACTATAGGGTAGGTTTTTTGCTAAGCATCAAAGCAGTTAGCTGTATATTAGGTGTTTTTGACTACTCTAAAAAATGTATTCGTATTGAAATTATACCCAACGTGGAACAGTCAAATTTTTTTATTTTGTTTTTGTGGTTTTTAAGCCGGAGAAGAATATTTTGTTTTGTTAAGCATTTAAATTATGAATTATGAATGAATGATAAAAAACAACTATCTTATAAATACCAAAATTAAAGTTAAAATAACGTAAAAATGTTATTAGGCCTTTTCATTATCGTCCTCGGACATTTTTACAGATAAATTATTTGCTGAAGGTTAATCATTCTGCTGGACATTAACAAACTTTGGCAAATTTCAATAAAATATCACACAAAGTGTACTTTTCTTTATCTATCACCAATCTATCATCAACTTTACTCGGTAACAAGGCATTTACTTAACAAAAACACTGCACAAAAGCGATTTTGCCATGATTTTAGAATTTTAAATAAATATAAATGAAGATATAATGATATTTACTTAATAAATGAAGACGAATGTGCCAATAACAGTTATCCTGAAAGGCTGAACAAAAAGAAGTGGTGGAAAAACAATACCAAAGCTTGAATAGGCAAATTTTAAATGAAATATAATCGGTTCATCATCTGGAAGAGTGACATAACCAACTAAAGTAATTATGAATCAAGATAACAATTCCAAATCAAGTTTAGCTCACAAATTTGAAGAACATTGACGAATAACGGCTGTCGTCGATATTGAAGAAACTTTTGACATCTTAACATTGGAATAGATAGGAACATACTATCGTTAAGCAGATATGTGATACGTTATTTACAAGTTTACCATAAAAAACGTAAAATGTTCTAATAATTTTCGTGTTCTTGTGATGCTTCATCCGTTTTAGACATTAGTAAAACTTAATAAAATTGGAGGGGTCTTTTTTCCGTAATTTTTTATGTGATCAATCGTTCCTTTGATAATAACATAATGTAACTTATGTTTTACTTCGTGCCTTATAATAAGGCCAAAATAATCCAGCTTCATACTTTGTGTTTCGATTAAATAGTTTATCTGTATGTGATCATTCGATCGATCATCTTAAATTTCCAATAATATATATTCTTGTTGAAACATATATTTCCAAAAGAACTGTGTAGAGCTATTAATATTGACAAAAATAAATATATTGTATATTAAAAAAGAAACAAATAGTAAAATTATTTCTTTAATTTTCTTCTTTAATTTCCATTTTCCATCGAAGGTTGGAAATCATCATGGCTATGCCGACCCCGTTATCTTTGGCTTCATTGACATTTTAAATTTGACTTGTGACACCTGACATTGACAGTTGATAGTTGACAGTTGACATTTCACACAAAATATCGTTATAACAACACTCATTCGTTTTATTTCTTGTAGACTAATCTAAATAAATTACCAAAGTGTTTAAAAATGATAGAATGTTCTTTCCGTCGGTAAAACTTTACGATAAATTCCATATTTAACTGTTCCACGTTATTCAATGTTCATTGTTCGATGTATTTGGCATGCCCCAATAATATAATTATAAATGTCTTTTCTATGTGTCTTCGACGTCAAGTATACCTCAACTGTATAGAGAATCACTACCTATATGTTAAATGACCTTAGGGGGTGGTAATTTTGGAAGGCAAAATTGATTTGCATATTTTACTTATTAAAAAAAATGTTTAAGTGACATGGATAATAATAAGCATA